TTTATTTTTTTATGTTCAAATATTTTTTTTTAATTTTTTTTATTGATCAATCTACATAACTAATAAATTAACTAACTTAATTATAAATTTTAATTATAAATTCTAATTGACTATTAAAATTTGTGATTAAAATATTGATTGGTCAGGTATGAACTAGTCTATAATTAAATTGAAATGAACTAAATTTTGATTGATTTATAATTTAAATTAAATTAAACTATATTAATTATTTATAATCATTATAATATAATATTTATATTATAAGTAATTACTTAATTTTATTTCTTTTATTTATAAGGATAAATTTATTTATCACCCAGGGTGAGATTTAATATTTCTCACCCCTAATCACGTGATTGTTTATTCAAATTATATTGGATAAGTAAATTATTTAAATTTGAAATTTTCAGCCAATTAGAATTTTTAGATAAATTGAATTGGTGACTTATACATAATTGAGTTTGCGCCACAGATTTATGATCGATAAATGATCACATATTTATGTATAGAACTAGAAAACGGAAACTGTTGTAAGTTCTAGAGTGAAAGTTGGAGTTGTGGATTTAGAATTAGATTAAATAAATGTAATGCAAAAAAGTAATAATTGATGTATGCATTGTGTAATAAATATAATGAGATACCGGAACAAAATTTATATAACAGAAATTCGTAAGAACTTTTCCTATTTTGTGAGATTTGTTTTGTGTATCACGTGTGCAGACAAACCTACTTCGTCACATAACTTTAATATGTGATTACCTTTCATAAACATATATAGTCCTTCGCTTCGCTCTGGATAATCATATGCAATTTGCAGATCACATAACATCGAACTGTCATCCCTAGTGAATAAATGCCTAGTTCTTTTCTAAAAATATCACTAACATTTATTTCTTGCAGACTATCACCTTTGCAAAATTTTATTAGAATTGCTATTAAAATTGCTCAATCAAATTATAATAATTACATTAATGGTAATGCTTATCGTGTTGTATTTAAGTGACATGTACTATAATAATGCTTGTAATCCTCACACATTCCGTATTACCATTTCTGATTTTCATTATTAGTTAATTCTTCTAATGGTTTTTGTGATGTTTTAGAATGTTTTTCAACAGCACTTTTCAATCGTTTAAATAGTATCTGACCTTTGGTTAATGATATATCAGGTTTTGAATATCTTGGACATTAACCCAATTGCCTTCAGAAGTAATAATGGTTTGATTCTCATTATTTAATTCGGAATGGCTTGATTCATAATTTTGTTTTTTTTGAATATTATAATTCTTAATGAAATATAACAATTCATCGTCCTTATCTTGAATAGCATATTAGATAGCCTTCTTAGCTTCTCCCATAAATGTTCCATATTTAAGCTGATTTCGGATTTTTCTTTGATCTTCATTTACTTGCAAATTATTATTGCAAGTATACCGCTATTCAAAATGTTGAATATTGCTTTGATTTGATTCACCTTTATTCACATTAACAAAAGCTTCATTAGATAAATCTAAACAATCAACAAATTGATCTTGATACCAGCGATTAGAAATTAAAAGAATATGAAAGTATGCTCGATTTGATTCTATATATACTTTAAAAAATGTCAACAGATAATTCTGTGAGTAATTATCATAAAATATATACATAAGTGTTCTCCGTTTCGTAGTAAAACAATATGCTGATAACATTTGGGATAGTTATATCAGGTTATTTTTCAGATTTTCAATATATCATTTTGATTAACACGCTCAATCAATGATCGTAAATATATTTCGCGATCATCATCTACTTCATCTGCTTGTAAAGGAGTAGGAATTTCAGACTCTTGAAATTCAATGACCAATGGCTCAAAAATATCGTCATCAAAAGTAAAAATCTCATTTAAATTCACTTGAAATGCCTTATAACATATGAATTCGCACATTTGCTTATAATGTGCATTGTGAATCAGTTTTATGACATATTTTTTAATCACATTATCGATTTCTTGGAAAAAATTACTCACAATAAATGGCTGCGGATATACCATATTAGAGGCTTTCCAAATAGAATATTTATT